AAAACACATCTGTTCCATCTTTATTTGACCCTCTAACTCTAGCACTTTCTATTCTATTTTAATTCTACTTTATTTATCTTCTTTTTTTTATTTAAAAAAAACACTAGCTTTCTATTTTTTTCTATTCTATATACTTGTTATTCTTTGTGTGTGTGTGTATTCGGCACATTCGTGATAGAAAAGCGGCACTTTCACGTTATGGTATTACAACTGTGAAATTACAAACAAAAAATACACATTCTGAGACATAAACTGAAATGAATTATGTATTTTATTAACATTAAATCGTCCTCATTTTCACCTCAAAATTTTGGGGAAGCTGTGCCTCCCCTGCCTCCCCCGACAAGCCGCCACTGCACTGTATACATTCACTCAGAAGAGCAAATACTGTAAAATGAAAAAAAACAACACCCAAATCATGCTACAATCATGTTTCTGTGTTTTCTGATTTTATTTTCTTCAATCAGGAGCGTCTGATCGCACACAGCTTGTGTGGCGATGGATTCACCGTGACTCCGACTACTCCTTTGAGATCCAGCTCATCTCCAGACACTCCAGGTGGAGTCGTGAAGCGGTAGCTCTGAAGGAGGGAGGTGAAGAACAGGAAGAGCTCCATCCTGGCCAAACCCTCTCCAAGACACATCCTGCGTCCTGAGAAAGAGAGAGAGGCTGTTGAATTGTCCGTTTAAACTGTTGTCTAGGTAGGCAGCACAATAGGTTTCGGAACAGAGCTAATGGGAACTGGAGGGCTGCTGCTCTATTGGCTGGTCTGCCTCAGCTCATCAATAGGTACAGTATGTTCAACTTTATGCAGCACTGCGAAGACTAATCAGTGGCTGACTTGAAGCAGTGCATGCTGGTTAGAGATTTTGTCTGAATTGAGACAGCAGCGACGCTACGTCACTGTGACGTACCGCAAGAGCGATTCGAGAGCTTCTCCAGAGCAGCTGCAGGAGCTCTGATGACGAAAGCTGTTTCACAGTTGGCTGAATTCACCACACGACAACAATCGTGCTTCGTGTTTATTCTGACACCTTCAGTTCCACTAATGCTCACAAATCTCTTTTACTGTAGTCGCAAATATTATATTGAGTCATGTTAATCAAAAAACAATGATAAAAGTGTATAAGACCCACTTTATTTGAATAGTAAAGGCTTATGTTGAACTTTATTCTTGTACAGATAGCACTGTATTAAGCAGTACATGAAAAGTGTTTCTGTTGTTTCATGAAAACATCTCTGAAACGTCTGTGTATTTGACAAAAATTGCGTTTAATTCACTTCATCTGTGATATAGTATGCAAACACCGCGTGAGAGTCTATACGAGAAAAGTGTCAGACTTTACGTCTCGGCTTTCAATTCCGCTACCCGACTGCAAGCGACAACTCTCGCCGATCGGTCTGTACGAACTTGAACACACCTAATGTCAAAATAATTGAATAATCAAATCAAATAAAAGAAGGTGGGCTTGACGAGCGCAAACTCTTTTAACAGCGAAAAAGAAACATAAGCAACTAAAATATTTGTTAATATTTGACGATTTTCATAGTAATGTTAAACGATCGACAGTAATATCCAGTGATTCAAACTTCTAGACCTTTTTGTTCAATTAGGCTGTTTTGAATAGCAAATATACATCTTTTAAGTGATTCATGTATTTCGTAAATTAATGTGATGAGACTAGCATGCCCAATATGCAGAAGTTGGTGCGAGTTGCTGAAAGTCAGAGCCTGTGATAAATCATGTTTGAATGGCTGATTTTGAAGGTAAGTTTTAACTTTTTTTTCTTAAGTTTTTTTTTTTGTGTATGGATTTTACATGTATGGAGGGCCATTTCACATTAAAAAAAAATCACATAATGCTTTGGTAAATCATAATTATGACAAAAGTAATTATTATGCCATAAAAAGTCAGCATTAAGACATAATTCAATTATTCAAAAGTTGTATAGTAGGCTATATTCCAGCATTAAGAGTGAATGTGTGCATATTTTTTAAATTAAAATATTATTTGCAAGAAGTTCCAATGCATTACTTTATAATAAACTTCAGTTCTTTTACTGGTTTTCTTTCTTTTTCTTTAATTCCTTTAAATAAAAAGACCATTGCTATCAAATATTGCTTTGACCCCCCCAATGTGGACATTGTTACGGCCTTGAGCTGAAGTTTCACTGACCTGCAGAAAAGGGCATGAAAGCATCTCTCTTGATGAACTGGCCCGTCTCATCAAGGAAGTGTTCTGGGTAAAAGCTGTTTGGTTTTGCCCATTCGCTCGGATCCTTCAAAACAGACGTCAGCAGAGGAACTACAATGGTGCCCTAAAAAATGAAGAGAAAAGACCAAAATCTTGATGTTCAGGATGCACATGGTATCTTTTCAAGGCTTTATACATATTTATTCTTCTGACTGACCTTCTTGATGAAGTATCCATTGAAGGTAACGTCACAGCTGGTCATATGAGGGAGATTCATGGGCACTATGTTTGCCAGTCTCTGGGTTTCATGAATCACAGCATCTGTATAAGGTAATTTCTTTCTGTCTTCCACCACTGTCTGACGTCCACCGATCACTCTGTCAATCTCCTCCTGAACTCGATCTGCACACAAATGCAACACATATTTGTTCCTTTGGACTATTAAATTCAGCATTGAGGAAATACTCTTCATATTACTGTGTTTTTACCCTGTATATGAGGGTATTTAGCCATAAGCATCAGACCCCAGCGCAGAGTCGTTCCTGTGGTGTCGGTACCAGCGATAAACAGATCTGTCACAGACATCATAAGATTCTCCTCATGAAAATAGGAGTCCTTCTTGCCTGATTGCTGTCAAATGCAATCGACCAAATGCATATTAATTCACCAACTGAATTTCCGATTATTACAGTAAAGAGGATCATCGAAAATGTTGTAGGCAAAAAATTACATACCTCGTCGTTCTGTTTGCGGATGAGAAACGAGTCGACAAATCCTCTGCGGTCTTGTGGATTCAGAGTCTCCAGAAGTCCATTGATCAACTTCATCATCTGTTGTCTACTTTGCACAATATTGTTTACAATAATCCTTTTGTTTTTTAGGATTGGACCCAACCACGGAAATATATTATAAATCTAGAAATGCACATTCAGAGACACAAGAAAGACTGAGTGACATGTTCTCCAGAGATGCACTTTTTTCATTTACTACATTCCATAGTATAATCATACTTTAAATATTGTACTTTTTTTAAATCACACTACATTTCATCAAAACATATTGTTCCTTGTTATTTGAAGCTGAAGAAATCAAGACCCGCTCTGAGAAGCGATGTCTTCATGTATAAGCTTATTCTTTTCTGCTCGCAATTTCCAATTCATTCACTAATCAGACTGATCCACTTGCAGCTGTTCTCAAGTCAATCACCTTTTGATTCAGTGATCCGTTCAAAGCGATCCATTAAACATTTCACTGAACTGTTCATGTCTGAATGAGGCAAGAACTTGGATATTCTTGGAGCTTGAGTGCGCACATGTGACTGATGTCGTGAAAAGTATGTTACTAATGGCAAATTTTAGCATTAATTATTGTAAATGAAAATCATATTTAGGTCATTATTTGTGAACTAAATCAGCTGTAAAGGGATGAGTTGTTTAAGCCCATTATCTGGCATTTGTGTGTCACTGACTGTTTGTTATGGACTACTGTAGGTAAAAACTATAAATCTTTGCAAATTAATGCACGCATTTTCCCAGCTGCTTTAGTTTCAAATTCTATAAAACTAGTATGTTTGCATAGCGTTCCTCTTGCCTAGTGTGATGTTTGTGCATTGTATTTTTATACTATTTGTCACCACATATTTACACACAATTTGTTTTTCCTTATTTTTAAAATAATGGGGTGTATTTAGCTATTTATTGCATACTTGAATTATCAGTACATTTAAATTGATATTGTAGTTTCAAGAGTAGTAATGGTGTATGACATGGTTTGGTAATGAAATAAATGTTTTGCTTATTTGCAGATCAGTACATAATAAAAGTCTGCACAAATCTTATTGACTTATTTTAGTGGCGTTATAAGTACTTGATTGGAGTACTTCGTCCAACACTACAAAACATGTCCATATGTCATTAATAGATTTTGTAATGCCTGTCGGTAGTTGACAAACTATAGACATATCTGTCAGCATATAAATCATACATACCATCATAGATGCCGATCCACTAACCCGAACATTTTCATTTGCTCTGTCGACCATTTCAGTGAATTGAGGGTCTGTGTATTCAAATCTGCTGCCGTACACGATAGATGAGATGATGTTTGACACAGCGTAGTTCACCGGCTGTGTCGTGTCGAAGGGTTTCTCTGTGAAGAGGAAACAACAAACCGTCTCTCAATGGATCTTATAAACTAAGAGCATGTTTGCATGTGCTTGTCTCAGCTTGTACCTTCAAACTTATTAAACTCTCCTTTCAGATACTGAATTTCCTCTATGATTTTCTCTTCACTTCCTCTCTTGCCCATCCCAAAGTCCCGCAGGTTGCTGAGAGCGAAGCGTCGCATTTCTTTCCAGTTCTCTCCATTGGAAAAGATGATCCCTGATCAACACAAAACCATCTTAGAGTCCCAGCAACACTAGTAGAGAATGATTACGCAGACATACTGGCAAACAAAAATGTAAAATAAATAAAAAGTTCTACCTACATATACTCACTTAAGACATGCACAATTTCAAGCTAACAGTCCGATAGTTAAATGCATTTTTGGTTTTTCATTGTTAAATTGGCTGGTTCCCACCCAATTTTGTACGAATCCTTATAACGACTTCATATTTGTGACTAATTTATTTCATGTAGTTAAACCCATTTGAGAAAATTTTGACTCAGAGAGGCCATGAAGATTTGAAAGCTTGTGCAACATCTTTGTTTTATGAAATATCTAGCAGTTTGTTATGCTGGGACACAGATGAGGTGAGGCGGCTCCAAACGCAAGTCGTTTTTGACAAAACAAGAAAACAAACACGGGTAAATAACAAAGGAACAATGAGCAGGAGCTAGACCAGAAATCCAATACAGGAGCATCAACAGGGAATCAACAAACAAGCGCTGAAACACAGGGGTATATATACTGAGCTGAACTAATGAGTAACTATGGAAACTAACAAGCAGATGGGTGTGGTCCAATGAGTGTCCATGGCAACAAACAAGGGAACAGATTAGCAGGGAAACATGAGGGAAACAAGGCTACAATAAAGCTTTGGTATTTTTAAGACCTGGGACAGTCTTGCGCACTTACTTCCTGTCGCGCGCACGCGCTCTCAAGTGGCCAAGACCGCAAGTGTGGGTATTTGGACAAGGGGACAGAGACACAAGAAACAGACAGGGATCGTGACACATTTACAGTTTGCACGTTCATTTGAGGCAGAAAAAAGAAGAATCCTACCATGTTCGTCATTCATTATCCTGAAACTAGGTGCAATATCTCTGTCGCCGAACTCTTCTGCATGATTCACAAGAGCTTCTTTGACGGTTTTGTATCCAACTAAGACCACAGTTTTTTTGGGACCCAAAAACACTTGGAATATGTTCCCGTAGCTTTTGGAGAGCTGGAGGACGCAGAAAAAGACATTCACAAACAAATCTCAAAATGTTAGGCTACTATTACTGTCTGAATGTGTTCAAGTCAAGTTCTCACCTCAAAAAAGGTGTCAAAGGGTCTCGTGAGGTCAAGGGTCAGCAGGTTCCCCAACAGCGGCAGTGGTTTGGGTCCCGGTGGCTCTTTCCCTTCTTTCTGAGATTTGGATCCAGAGGAAAGCAAATACAAAACCAGAAGCATCAGCAACGCTCCCAGTAATGTACCTGTGCTGGAAAACTGCAGCAGTGACTCGACAACAGACATTTTCTCTCTGAGGCACTCTCCTCAACTGAAGCACTCACACATTTATAGCCACTGTGTAAGGGAGGGTCCTAAACCTAAACATTTTTTTGAAATCCATGAGAAGAAAGGGTTGGTGCGATTAGCATGTATGTGTCATGCTGTGATGAATCGGCAAAACAGGACAGGAATGTATAACATACAACATAATATAACAGGCCATAAAAGCAGAAGTTTAGGTTCAACACAATCTTTGCACCAATATTATTGCATGCATTTTGGTTTATATGCACTAAATATTGTGATATTGTCTACAACTGACAATAATCAGCGCATAATGAGCACGGCTGAACTATGACACACAGAGATCTGTTACCTTTATTAAACTTAAACCCTGCATAAACCCACACCTTATGATGTGTTCAGATTAGATCTTTACTCTAATCAAAAATGTACAAATTGTTATGAGCTCTATTATTCATTTTGTATGTATTATAAACTTTATAAGAATTTAATCAGACACACACACAAATCATCAGTGTTTTTGGATGAGTATTGAAACCAAATGTAAGGATGGATTTGACCAAAACTGAATTCAAGATTCCTATCCTGTAATCAAACAATAAAACTCACTAATCTGGAGAGAGGATCTACAGCTGGCCCAATCTCATCGCTTCCCCCCCATGCTGAGTTCCTGACTCCTCGCACCCTCTCCTTCCCCTCAGGTCTCAGTCAGTCATGCAAATTTCACAAATCTATTGTTTCAAGCGGTCTCATGTGTGGTCAATATACTGTAAATACTTCAGGTGCGACTGGAAGGTGGTTTCACTCTCGCATCAACAGAACAGGCAAGAATAAAGAAAACAAAACCTGTTCTTCTGATGTGGGAGATGCCCCAATAAAGATCTTTGATCCCCAAAATTAGGTGTGTGACCTTTTGGGTTACGAGATCCTAACAAACCAAAAGGTCTTTTATGTTTTTACAACTGATTTGAAGATTTCTTTGTTCTGGTCTGGGTATATAAGCGAAGTGGCAAAACACTACTTTGGAATTCTGTAACCGGAAAACCCCGACACAGTGTGTGTGAGTCTCTGGAGCTCTGCACTAGAACTCTCACATGCTGCTGTGTCTCTCTGCTGTCAGGTATGCATCTCTCTCTCTTAAGATTCATCTTTGAGCAATTGATGTTATGTATTTATCTGAATTGGAACTGAATTTAATTCTAAATTGGATTCTCATTGTTTAATTATGTAACTGGCACATTTTGTATTAAAGGTGACATATCATGAAAATCTGACTTTTCCAGGAAATGCCAAATGATGAGTCCTATCTGATAACACTAAAGAAATTCTAGTAAAATATGTAGTTTTTAACGATGTTTTACAGTAAAAGTGACAAAATTAATTTATTTTATTTTAAACAAAATAGCCTACTGCTGACATAAATGTGCATCTTCAACTACATTGTCATATGAATAACCAGTAAGTGAGTATCACAAACCTTAACGGTGACATATCATAAAAATCTGACTTTTCCAGGTCTTGAGTGCTATAATCAGGTCCACAGTGCATCTACCAACCAAGGAAATGTGAAAAAGATTAACCCAGTAACTTTTTTTTGGTAAGCCTTTTTCTGCAAGTGTCTGAGAAAACCAGCACGTCTGATTTCGCTCCCTTGGTGACGTGGCTGTCATTATAATATTACCGCCCCTTAATCTGTAAGTTTACACCCATGCGCCGTCATTTTTATTTCGCAAGCAACAACGGTGTACCAGTTCTAATGAGAACCAAAACAGATGTTTTTAGCAGATACGAGCTGTAATGGCGCAGCTCTATTCTGGAAAAGGGGGCGGGGAGTAGCAGCTCATTTGCATTTAAAGACAGGCCCGAAAAACAGCTTCTGCTTCCACTCAAAATAGGCATTTTCAAAATTATATAATAAATGATCTGTGGAGTATTTTGAGCTGAAACTTCACAGACACATTCTGGGGACACCAGAGACTTATATTACATATTGTAAAAAGGGGCATAATATGTCACCTTTTGTATTAAGATTATAATTTTCAGAATTAAATATAAATAGGCTATCATATTCTATTTGACATTAGGCTGACGTCACATTCCGTGATAATGTGCTTTATATTCAAATTGTCAGGTTATATCTGCATTCTGAGCCGTTTCGGGAAATTGAGCTTCAAAGTTTTTGCATTCCATATAGTGATATGGGATATGGGGAACAAGTTTCTTTCATACATCAGTCCCAAAATGTACACAACTTAATAACTGTAAATGAGTTGTCACAGAATAGGAATATGTGAATAAATAAATTTTGGCAAAAATGGCAGATAGAACCTTATAATTTCCAGGGTGACGAAATGTTCGACCAGACTATCGAACTATCAGACAATCAAATTACTTTCTACTCATTTCTCAATTTTATATATTATATATAATTACACACACACAAATTCTGTTAGCACAAAGTTCATGAGTGCATCTCTCACCTCTGACACACCTGGAGTGACTTCAGACCTGCTTTCACAGACCTGATTAGGCAATGCAGCATTTCGTCTTGTCAATCAAAGAAGCTCTCAAAAATGATTCACCTTCTTAGCAGAAAACACTTGCAGTATCTTTTGAAACTGTACAACAAAAGTTTTTCTTACATGCAATCTAACTCCACTTCGGTGCAAACTCATCCGTCACATAATAGAAGCAAGACAAATTAGACAGATGTCAAAGTGGACAGCTTGTGTAACGCATATTCTTAAAAACCGTTAATACAGCTGATTCCGCCAGGGGATGCTAAAAATAAAAAGGTAATTATGAGGTAATTACTTTTTTTCTCGCAATTCCGAGTCTACATCTTGCAATTATGAGCTTTTTTCTCTGAATTCCGAGTTATCTCGCAATTCACTTTTTTCCCCGACTTTTTATCTCACATTTCTGACTTGTTTCTCGCAATTTCAAGTTTATATCTCACAATTCTGCATTTATATCTTGTAATTCTGAGTTTGTATCTCGCAATTTTGACTTTTTTAGAATTGCAAGTAAAAAATGTCCAAAATGTGAGAAAAACTCAGAATTGTGAGAAAAGTCTCTTATTCTTATTTATTATTTAACATATTTGCAAACCAAATACTCTAACTAGAATGACAAATGTAACAATTTTTACTATTTTGCCTGTCATGTTAATCATTTTGCATTGATCTGATGTTCATGCTCTTTAAACAAACAGTAAGCAACCATTGGAACTGTAAATGGCAATAAAAGCTACTGTAAATATTTAATTCTCAGCAGGCTGAGGGGAAGTTACCTCTGCTCAGTTTCACTCTTTATTTGGCCTGATATATTGACGGTCAAACGTGTCAAGAATAATGCTTCATTACTATATTACACAGCCGTTTCAACAGTTCAAACCAGACTGAAAGCAATTAAATGTTGTGCAACACTTTTATACCTGTACTTCAATATATCAAAACATTAGTGGATCATGATGATAGTTAATGTGATGAACTCCACCAGTTGATTCAAAGACATGGAGCAGAAAATTATGATGAAAAGCGAAGAGAAAAGATTGTGCAGTATTTGAGACACAGGCACATGATCCCATGCAGTGAGGGTCACGCATTTCTAAGTGACTTAAATACCTTTTGTTGCTGCAGTACTGAAAGAAGTGTTGACATTCGCCCTCCTTTCCCATGGCTGAACCTTCACCTGTCTGAGGAGCATTAATTACTAACTGTGTCAGGGGTTGACAGGAACATGGAGGCCGTGAACATCATGTTCTGATTCTTACGCACGAGTGCTAACAGGTCTGAAAACACAAAAGCTCAAGATGAATAATGGCATTAAATAGTGGAATTTTTTTTTCAACTCGTACACTCTCAGAAAAATACTGGGGTGACACCCTTTTGAAATATGCTAATATACCTTTAAGGGACTAATATGCAGCATTTAGGGGTAATTAAAATACAAAGATTTATCTTTTAGCTTCTGTACCTTAGGGCTCTGACCCAGTTACTTTGCACCTTTTATATACTCGTAAAACTTTATGAAATTAACTCTAGCCTCCTTTATTTTCAAGAACAACGCTAACACCAGTCTTCCACCTTCTGATACTGTTAATAAAAAATCACTGAATGCATTACTGCAGTTTAAAGAGGGAAGCAAAAAGTGTAAAGAAATTGGATTTAAGTACTAAAATGTGGGTATAATATGGAATACGTGAGAAAAATGTCATAAAAATAATTGAGAAAATATGATATATATATATATATATATATATATATATATATGTGTGTTATATATTATATGAATATATAATACATAATATATTAGTATATTTAATAAAAGTATTTAGTAAATTATTTTTTAAAAATCACATAATAAATAGTACATAAATCATATTTTTGTCCTTGAAAATTAACAATAAATGGTAAACAAACAAAGAGTCAATGGTACTTAAAGGGCCAGTTCACCTAAAAAGCTACATTGTCATTTTCTCACGCTCTCACTCAATTTTCTCTCTGTATGACTCTCTTCTACGTAACACAAATGATATCTTGAAAAATGTTAAGAACAAACAACACTGGAGTTCTTCTGTTCTGTTATGCAGAAGTCATTCAGTATTTATAAATTTGTAATAACAATAATAGTAAAAATACAATCATTCAAGAACTTCACACTCCTGAACTGAAGTTAATTATTAACTGTCGACAGCTGGTTTATCTTTATTACGTAATGGACTCACATTTCCGGGTTTGGAGCTGGAAAGGAAACTAGACGAGTATTGCTAGATTTAGTTGTTAATTATTGCAGAAATTAGTCATCAGTGTGTGAACGGGATCATAGGATAATAAAAAAAATCTATATGAAAAGAAAGCGACGGCAGAACACGATTCCTTTGCATAAGGCAGATTTAATTAAAAAGGAAATAGCAATACTTACATTTCTCACAAGGTTAATTTAGTGATACAGTACACACGATTACAATGTAAATTGCCTTTTTGCATTATGGTATACATTTTACCATTTGTAATAAACATTGTCATCATTAACATTCCCATGTTTGCCTTCTCGATTCTCAAAATGCAATATTTTCAGTTTCAAACAAGCAGTTCAGACACGACAGCCAAGAGCACTGTGCAAAACAGACCAATCAACGACAAAAACGTAGAAAATAAACTATTTGTAGTCAGTCACCATCAAGCCCTACCTTATCTACAGTACGTCAGTGTGTTCGAATGAGCCTGTGTTTTCTTCCTTCGCTATGAAAGTACATTCAGTTCACATGAACGTGGACGGAAACGTGGACCTGCGCAGGTTAAAGTCATGTCAGTACGGTCTGGGAAGGGAAACCATGCTGCTCTACTTTCAGTCATTGTAATGATGTAGAATCATGTTGAACAAAGACTCGCTGACGTCCTTCCATCTGACTCGAGAGGAAACCTAGCATTAACGATGTAGAAAAGAGCAGGATGACCTGAGAGTCACTGAGCCTCGGAAACATGAAATACAAGTTCATAAAATACATTCAATGCAAAAAACTGACATAAGAATGATTTTACGAACTGATCTTACAATAAACCATCTTGAATTGCAAAACGTCATGTTTCTGTGGGCTCTTTTATGGATCTTTGTGAAGGTGCATGAATTGGTCCACATCAGTAGTGCAAGATAAAACAAAACAAAAGCTTGTGGTTTTTTTGCTCTGTGACAGAATCACACATTTAGTGTATCTAAAGACACATTCGGTTTGATGCAGATGTAAAAAAACAAAAAAGTGCACTGTACGTCCTCTAGTGGTCATCTGCGAAATTACACAAAGCCCATGTTGCACTTCAAAAAATCCTCCATTGTCGCAATCTGGAGGAGGAATGTCACACTGGTAAAAAAAAAAAAAAAATTAGAAATGGAAATGTGGAGGGAAAAAGCATTAAAATATCTGTGGTCTCACTGAAAAAAAAAAATACAAATTGAGATGTTTTTTTTAGCAGCGAAAAAAATTAATAGTGACTTTTATTTTGAAATACATAGGAAAAGCTGTCTATTACATGGAACGATTTCCTTTTTTGTGGAAGATAAAACGATATCTAACAAACAGTGGACTATAAATGTCTAGATAAGGGGAATAAATCTATTGTATAAATTCTACAAATTACCCTAATTCTATTAAATTTATATTCAGTAACTATTCTTGTAAATTTTATATTCTACAACACTTCGAATCCCAAATAAGCAGCTTTTATACCATGTTTTTGGACATTGCATTTTCTGATATTTCTGGCCTTTTTGCATATTTTATCAGAAAAAGGGGTGAAATGCACATACCTTAAGCGTTGAGACCACAGTAAAAAAAACAAAACAGGTGAGCAGAACCAAACAAAAAAGACATTTATAAATAACACAGCAATCATACACAAGTGCACACGAGACATGCTGTCTGTCGCGCTTACAGATGATGAATAAACGTCCTTTCTTTACAGTACGGAGCCCCACCGATTAAAATTCAAAGACTGTTTCCGATGGTGTGACGAACTTCCCGTTGAAACTCAAACTGCTCGCAAATGCACAGACAGACTTGAAATAAACCCCCTCCTGGCGGAGATCTTGCGTTAGTGGTCCTGTCTCCGTGCGACACAGTGTTTGAGTCTGGAAATGTGTGTTACGCATGTATGATCATTTCAGAGATGTGTAAGTGAAGAGAGACACCTGAGCAATGTCCAGTGGTCTGACTGAGAGTCAGTCGGCCCAGGCTGTACCTTCTACTCTTCAGGTGAAGGTCCGATCGAGGAGCTCCGCCCCTTTAGTGCTTGAGCGTGTCATTTCCTGCAGGCCTCGGCGCAGTGCTGGAACTGGGCGAAGCTGAGGAACACCTGCTCCAGTGAGATCTGGCTGACGCAGTAGTCCTCGATGCTGTACTTCTCTTTGGCTGTTTCTAAAACACCAAACACCTGAGACAAAAAGACGGAAATGCGTTAGAAGTGCAGTAAAGATCTCGTTTAAAATTCATTCAAATGCATTTAAAATGCTTCTTTAGCTTGTTCAAAAGTGAAATATACAGTGTGAACTGTGTTGTCGTTATATATGAGAATGTATAAATCAGGGGTTCTCAACTCTGAATTGAATTTTGTATTTTATTAAAGGGGTCATATGATGTTGCTAAAAAGAACATTATTTTGTGTATTTGGTGTAATGAAATGTTTGTGCGG